GGTGCGATCTGAGCTATGTGGCTTGACGTGCTATGGACGCGCAGTCGCTGAAAAATAGACCTGGCAAGTATCTCCGACGATGTGATGTGCCGTGGCACTGTGGAAATGAAGCTATTCACTAGAATGGGAGCGTATCTGCTACGCAGTGCACGGCGCTACGCTGCGCGGCGCAGACGGAGTATGTGGAAATTGCGGGTTACAATGCTCACCGTCACCTCTCAGTCGCGATAAGCAAAAGTGAAACTTTCACCGCATTGTGGATGTGCGCGATTGATCCAAAGACCTCCCCCCTTTAAACACATTGGCCACTAATAGTACCCCCTCGCCCCCGCTCCCCAACACGCACACACATTGGCCTCCATTCACCCTTTCCACGTTTCGTCAGTCTTTGCAGGGATGGGGGACTAGATTATCTCATTGAGCAGAATGTGTAACTATCATAAATGTTTGTTTGCCACAGAGATTATTTTCTGCAGGAATCCAAAATCCAATGGAAAAATCCCATAGGCTTTTTGACGAGGGAACCAGGAAGACGTGAACTTCCACTTTGGCCTACAAAAAGTCCTGGGGCAATCTATTCTGAATTTATCAAGACGACATGTAAGCATTTTAGACATGTTGAGTTTGTGTTAAAGGTAAACAGCGTTATCAGCTGTTTTAAATTGAAGCAGATCAGAAAACAGCTGAAATTCTTATAAAATCTGATAAAACATACTTGTTATCAAACAGGGGAGTTAAGATTAAAGACCTGTCTCCTATATGAGCTGGTTTCAAATACAGCCCTGCTTCTTTGTGTATTTAAGGTAAATAATGAGGGATATTTTTGCCTAAGGCAGTTTTTAATGGATGAATTGTTAGGGTTTGTGTTTATTCCTACAATCACATCTTTAATTTATTAGATAAACTCGTAGACTGGAAAATTAATGGATGGTAACTACCATGATGGTAGGTTTGTGGACTCCTGTTTTGAAGCCTTGAGTTTGGCACTTCGGCTGGTGCCATCTTGGTTATCCGGAACCAGAAGTGGCAGTATTTGGGCGACAGGCTGGCACTGTGGAAAAGCAAGGGGTGGATCTGACTGAGAAGCTGACAAACTGTCACTCAAAGCAGTCTGTCCTTAAATATGTATAACTTTTGGTTTCAATAAAATATAAATGTGAGCGATGTAAAAGTTTAGCCCTGTACAGTTGTAATGAAGGGAGAAATAAGCTATAGAGACCAAAATCATTTTTTGTACCAGGCTGTAAACATGTTTATTTCTACTGTAGAGTTGGGCATTTTAACATGGGGATCTGTGGGGATTGACTGGCCTCTGGAGCCAGCTTCAAGTGGCCGTTAGAGGAACAGCAGTTTATGGCACCCTTGCGTTGGCTTCATTTTCAGCCCTTAGAGATTGCTGCTTGGATGAAGTGTTCTCTTACCCCAAAACTTTGGAGATTGGAGGCCGTGCTTTTGTCTTACTGTTTTTGTTTGAGTGGTTAGAAGTTTTGTGAGAAGTTGAGGTTAAAATATGGCTGGTGCTGTGATTCAAAGCCATTTGACAGGAGGCAGCCTGTCTGGTAAAAGGCATGCTAGTTATATAACAGTGGGGCCTTGGTGAGTGTGATAATGATTCAGACTGGTCTAACCGGGCGCTTTTCTGTTGCATAACTAGTTGACACCTCTGTGTCCCTTCCATCCACGCACACGCACAGACACACAAACACACTTTTTATAATGAAGTGAAGGAGCACAAACAATGTACATGTCGTCCGTCTTCTACTGTTACTCCTTCAAAGTTTCTCGAGCAGCATTTACACACAGACACACACACACACACACACACACACGCACACGCGCGCGGCTACAGGCACGAGTTTCACACTGACTTCACTCTTATAAAATCACTGAGACTGGTGAAGTGTGATCTAAAGTAAGCAGCAAGTGGCGGAGAACACAAGTTGACAGCAGGAAAGCAACATGTGCACCACCTCAAACTCTGCTTTGTGTGTTTTTGTGTTTGTTTATATGTAGAATATATCTGCTTCAAATCTGCACTCAAGAAGCTCCGCTCTGCCTGATTTGTAAAACAGAATTATACAAGAGGTTTGCAGAACTGCTACTATATTGTGTCATATTTTATACCCTCCCTACTATCAACAGCTTGTTTAAAGTTCACACTCTGAAGTGTAAAAGTGTCCGTGTTTACCCACAAATTACTCTTGCTTTTGTTGAATTTGTGTTTCTCCAAATTAAGACCAAGTATCCTATAAATGTTATCAGCCCTGTGGTTTGATGCCTGGAGTTTTTTCAGCTAAATCATTATTGTTCAAAAATGTGAAAGGCCTTGTAAAAGGTTTGACATCTTTCAAAGCATGTCTTTGTTTGAGTCAATATAATATTGAATCATTGCAAACAAAATGTCTCTTCCAGCTCTGCCAGCTTCTTAGTCACTTCAGAACTGAGTCAGATTTTTTATTTTTGTGCTGCTCAAAACAGAACGCACAAAGCATCCAACAAACAAACAAACAAACAAACAGCTCACTAATATATTGTAACTGTAGTTTTTTGGTGAAATATATGAGGCAACACGTTTTGGTTAAGTGTATTGTAAATAATTTACGATTGTACTGGATGGTACAAAGTGATAAACATACAGTATACATATGGTTACAAATTCATGGAAAAACCAACTAAGTATTTTAAAAAGGTATTGTTCAGTCCTTAATGTGAGATTCTCCAACCTGGGGAACTGAACTGGAGTCAAGAAAAGCATTCTTCTAAAACATACTCCCTCTTTTGATATTTTTATGATGGTGGTGAGGAGCTCTGTCTAAGGCTGGATAGACGCTGCATTTTCATTCGTCTGCTGTGATCTTGTAATGCACACTGTATGTTTTTACCACTCCTTCTGCACAGCAAATACATGCAGTTTTAATGCTCACATTTTTTAAAATGGAATGACTAGTTACAGTCAGTTCACACTGAACCTAAACATGGAATCCTCAGTAAGCTCTGACCATTGACAATAAATAATATTCCAATAGACAAAAATAAACAGATAGCCCCATGATGGGAAAAAAAAAACACTTGCTTTTGTGCAGTGTAATTTGAATGCCCGCCTTACTCAGACTTCCACTGCCTTAACTTTTGTTGTTGTCCCACCGCATTTCCCCCGACTCTGCTGGGGGCCATTAAACATGAAATACGAAAGGACTTTTGTCAGTGTCTGATACTAGAAGTTATTGACCAAGCTCAGGTTTTTGACGTCTAAGACTGGGTTGGAAATTCCGCCAACTTCTAAAATTAGTCAGACACAACCAATTTAGGCCCGAAGTCGGGTGACATGCAGTAATGTAACATCTGCTTAGTTTTAAGCTTTGTCTATACAAGCACAAGACACTGTGGTGCAGGCCTCTGTAGATGGCGTGCAAGCTGTAAGCATGCAAAGAAGAGTGTAATCTCAAGATGTTTTTTATGCTCCAAAACAAAATGTTCTGTGGATAAATAAGAAGTCAACTAGTGTTACTGGAAGAACGTTAGTGGAAAAGTAGGCTGATATCTCAAAGGATTTTTTTTTTTCTTTTTTTTCAAATATAGCACAAATGTTCACTTTGACTCAAGAATGAACTGATAAGAATTTTGCGGTCAAAGGTCACTGTGACCTCATAAAACATGTTGTCGGACAAAACTCAAGAATTCATATGCTAATTATGACAATACTTCACAGAAATGTCCAATAGCATTAAATGATTAAGTGATGACATCTTATATCCAAAAGGTCAAGGGTCGACATTACTCAACTGGTGACTCTTATTTTGAAACTGTGCTGATTTTAGAGCATGATAGGATGTTACCTGCAGTCTAGAAGCATCTGCTTCCATAATTCACTGGTCATATCTCTTCAGGTTAGTTCTGTCACTTTGTCTTTATTTGTCACTGTTGGCCTATTCAGAGTGCTTTTTGATGAGAACTTGTACACAGTAAGTGTTACAGTAGGACATGCCAGACATGCATTACAGCATAGCTGAAGTTAATGTGAACTTGAGTTTGAAGAGTGGAACAGGAGTTATTTTAATTTTGCAAGAGAAAAATGATTTGCGACCTTGTCTGTTCTGCAGTTTGCAGCTCCAGCAAAGCTCTGCTTTATGAGGCTTTCTGGTTTGCAGAGGTTTGCTCTCTCCTCCTTTGTTTGGTTGTTTCCTCAAATTTTCAGATACCTTGAGCAAATAAAGCATCTCCTTTACCTCTTAGCTGAACGCAGGTCTGACTCAACACTTTATGGACAATTACGTCATACTGCACCTTTTAGTAGGAAAATGTCGAATGTGACATGTCAAATAGAAAAATCCAGTGTTTTTTCTTCATAGCGAAGAGGCCTAGTTAAAGTATAAACAACCATGATGTAAGAGTGTGTTTCATTGTCCTCAAAGAAAGTTGGTTCTCCTGCCTGTTTGGTCATCATCGACCACAGAGAGTTCTCTGATTAAAATAAGCAGCACTAAGTGCGTGTTTGTTTGATCATCCTGACTCTGGGGTTCTCTCATGTGGAGCATTGTGACGCACACAACATAAAGAAATATGTAAAGAGAACCAGTGTGATGATCCCCTCCTGGCCCGCCAGCCCAGTGTCTCATATTTGTGCGTCTCTTTGTATTCTAACATGCATATCTCTTTCCCCATGGCATTGTTTGCTGTATGTTATATTTATTTAACCCACACCAATACCAGCAGGCATTGCATCATTTACCATGATGAATAGGGATGTAACGCTCAGCCTGCTCTTCTCGTTGTATCTCTTTGGATTTGCAGGCAGGATAAGTGGTCATCGTGTAAATGTGTGTTTTTATTAAACCCTTAAATGCCTTTTGTTACCTGAACAAAATGGTCAAATGTTATGATAGAATGGAAAACAATACATCACATAATGTCAAGCTTGAGAGATGTAACAATTTAAATTTTAGTTTCAGATGTAAAACAATCATGCTGATGTGTTCGTCTTCTCCTTCCTGTTTTTCCAGGCACGTTACAAACAGAGTCTGGACCCCACGGTGGACGAGGTTAAGAAGCTGTGCACGTCGCTGAGACGCAACGCCAAAGAGGAGCGAGTCCTCTTCCACTACAACGGCCATGGGGTGCCACGGCCCACTGTTAACGGAGAGATCTGGGTCTTTAATAAGGTATGAAAAACACACATACACACATGAGAAATATGCTCTCATAATCACATACAGGAGCCACGGACCTCTAGATCCTTTACTGCAACAATGTTTCAAGTAGGGCTGCACAGTTAATTTAGATAGTATTGAAATATGGCCAAGTGCAATATCCAAATTGCAGGATGTGTAATATTTTTTTTTTTATTAAGGTAAAATGTGTCACAACATACAGTTATAAATGAAGAGTTGTGGTGCGACAGAGACGCCCTGGCATACAGCTCATAGTCCAGATGTATAGGAAGAACCCAGCAAAAATCATGTCATTGCCATTATTATATTTTTTCCAGTAAAAAAATATGCAAAAATAACCCTACCCATTAAAATCGCCACTTAAATTGCAATCACATTTCTTTTTTATTATTACTATTATTGCACAGGTCTAGTTCCAAGGAAAACATATTATCTGTTGCTGAGATGTCACAGATTGCGTTTACATGTGCGTCACACATGCAGTCATAATGTGAATAAGGAAATAATCAGTGTAAACAACATATTCTTATAGATTAATGCGGTTAAGTAGTAGTAGTACAATTCAGTTCACATTAATGAATACCAGTGGGGATGTGTTGCTTGCATTTCTTAAACAGTGGTCAGTTCATATGTGCCCAGATCATGTCATACAGGGAGCTATAGTGTGTTCAGGGCTAGTCAAAGACATGTGTTTGTGTTTTATCCACTGGCTTTACCAACTTTCCCCTCTTGGGTTGGTTATGTAGCTTTCTTAATAAACATATTCTTTCTAGATACAGCTTTCATTTCATACTCTATCCAGCCTTACACAATATCATCCAAAGAGCAATGTTATACTTGCTTTTATATGTCCTATTGCCTGTGCATCATGGTCACCATACATTTACTGCATTCCTTTGAAGTGTTAGGCCTTGATCATACAGAAAGCCATGTAGCGGCTGGAGGCAGCTTTTTGTTATTGTTTTTAATGAGAATTAAACTTTTTGCACGCTGTTGTCGCATTGCTACACATCTCGCATTTCTGCGCTCTGAACTCCTTGAGTTAAAAAAACTTCAACTCAGGGCGATAAAGAGCCCCACGTCATTTTTGCTTTTTGTTTAACTGCATTGCTTGAAAGGTGGGCCTTCTGTGGTAGTCATGACAACAAGTTTAGGAGAAAGGAGAAACTGGTGGTAGTGGTTGCTGGATACCCAGAGCTGTACAACTTTACAAACCAGTTACCACGATCTCAATAGAAAACATCAGGCGTGGAAGCATATAAGTGCAGTACCTGAAATGGCCATCATGGAGGCAAAACTCCTGGAACAACTGGTGGTACCCCATCATCCACACTCTTTGTTAAGGGTCTCATGTACCCACACAGATTCCCGTTTACCTGTGCCCAACAAACTATTTGCTGACAGCCTCTCACCCTCAACCACAGCTACAGCAAGTACCCTCTGCCTGAACATTTGAGGAATGAGCTACTAATTATTACTAATTAGCCATAATTATTTTTATTGACATTAAGTAAATAAATAGATAAATAAACTGTACATTGATTATACAGGACAATTAGGGTAAGGAGGTGATGGGGGTTGTAAAAAGCCACAGCAAGCTTTTTTTTTTTTTCCTCACAACAATCAATTTTTTAAAAAAGGGCAGTGCGGTGTGCCTGCGGTGTGTTTTGCATCTTGCAAAATGCCTTCTGTGTGATCGAGGCCTTTGTTGGTTTGCAATGTAATTATGGACTCGCGTAGAACAATAAGGAAGAGTAAATCAAGATGTAAAGTAAATTTAAGCAGGTAGCAATGTCTATTGGCGATGCCAGTCCATGCTGCACTGAGCTGACGCGCTGAGTCAAGCAAAGCTGACACATGTGTGTGGATAAGGGCTACTGGGCTTCTTGACCTGTGGTCAAAAGGGCCAAATGACTTAACAACCAAACTTACAAGCGGTCCTCATAGCCTGCCTGCGTGCCGCGATCTTAGTTATGTGTTGCAGTGTAGAGATTTGCCAATCAGACGTATAATTTTGAGTTGTTCATCTCCTTGTCCTATAAGTAAGCACCCACTCACAATGATGCACCGCTGCTGTCTGAGCCTGGCTGTTGCCTTCATGTCCCCAGTACACCCTCGGGCCTTATGTCTTCTCCTCCTCTGTTCTCCTTCTTTTTTCTTCCACATTTTACCCCTTATTCTTATTCCTTTTCCTATAAAATGAAGCTGCTGTCTCACTGGCTGCTGAAACAAGAGATCAGTGGGGATTTGGTGTTAAAACAATGTCTGGGAAGTGGTGTAGAACCAAATTTTCCATTAAGCACAGAGTATAACACCTTTATAGCACCATGGTTATAAGATTTATTACTCAGTGCCTCCTTCTGTGTTCCCATCATCCTCATGCTTCTGTCTCTCACTCTCTCTCATTATAATTTTCTCTTTTCGACAGTTTCTCTCCCCCTCCGCTCTGCTAACACTCTTCATCAAACAGATGACTAGTTAATAATTAATGACAAATCTATAAAAGTGAGTTTTCAGCGATAACACGATATCCCGTCTCTCTCATTCCTCAGTCAGACGTCTCCTTTCTCATCTGTCTCTCTTTCAGAACTACACCCAGTACATCCCGCTGTCCATCTACGATCTGCAGACGTGGATGGGGAGCCCTTCCATCTTTGTGTATGACTGCTCCAACGCGGGAATCATCGTCAAGTCGTTTAAACAGTTCGCCCTGCAGAGAGAGCAGGAGCTGGAGGTGGGCAGCTGCACACACAGACACACTCATGGTCCACAGCATGTCACAACACAGCAGCCGTGAATAAGTAGCGAGGTTGTAATTGGAAAAAAAATAAACACGTGCAAAAGATTAGGTGAGTCATACAAACACACAGTGTGTGCAGGCAAACAGGGTGAAATAAACCGCTGGTATTTATCACTTATTAATGGAAACGTGGGAGATTTGTCACTTGAACACACGCTCACACATATACACTCAAACTGTCTCTCACGCATATATACTGATATACTGTATTTATAAAGGAGGCCTAGGCGGTGTCAGTGAAAAAAAAAACAAAAAAAAAAAACAGTATGTCGTCAGTGCTGTGATCCAGCCAATCAAATGGGCAGCTGGATCTAAATCATTGAGATTTTGGTTTGGTCTTGGGAGCACACACACACACACACACACACACACACGATCTCACACAGATACACGCCACTACCAGCCTCAGTCCCTTTCACCGCTTCATCTTTTTATTACGTTTTCTCTCTCTCTTTCTCTCTCCCGGCTATGGCATGTTATGTGAATCCCTAATGAGATGGCGCTGTCATTCATCTCAATTATTCATGGAGAAGTTTCAGCCAGACTGTAGATTAGCTGGGAAACGAGCGAGGGAGGCAGAGAGAGAGAAAGAGAGAGTGGGGGTACAGGATGAGCTGAGCAGAGAGACGGGAGGCAGAGCAAGAGTAAAGAAGAGCTGCTGTGAACGCTGTGCTACCCATTAGAGTAAAGGTGAAGGCAGCAGCTAAACTGCTGAGTTGTTGCAGTGTTTGACAGAGCTCATCACAAGCGTCTCTCCATCCTCAGCCTCTGCAGCTCCTTTTTGTTAAAGTTCACAGAGGTCACTGCAGGGCTGCACTGTATACCCTATTGTACACTGTGCATTTTAGTTTTTCAAAACAGGGCGTACTCCGAAGGTATTAGCTGCATCGTTGCACAAAAAGTGTTTACTTAAAGGTGGGACCTTCAGGGTTGAACTGTAGCATTGCAGTAGGGAAATAAACAGAGGAAGTCCCCCGGTTAAATGCAGGGGATGTTGCATAACATCCATAAGCAATTTCACTTTTCCACCTGAGTGCTCTCCCTTCTCACCCCCCTTGTACAGGAAGGAGGGAAGGAGGGGTGGGGTGGTAATGGAAGATAAAGACAGAGGCAATGACTTCCAGAGAGTTTTTAATCATGTAGGAGATGATCCAGGCGGGGAGTCCCCCACATCGCCCACGCGCTCCTCTTCCAACTGTCGCGACACACACGCTCTGTCAGCCATTTTTAAAATAGACACACACGATTCACATAGCACGGCAGGCCTGAACTCACCAGGGACTTTTATTTGGAGATGCAGTGATGCAGATGAAGACCAGAGCACGAAGGAGACGGAGGAGGATATGAAAGGAGGAGGAGGTGTTTTATCACTCCTCCACAGCGCCATATCAGCCTCCTCCTGCAGTCCTTTCAATCAGTCAGTCAGTCAGTGTGTGTGTGTGTGTGTGTGTGTGTGTGTGTGTGTGGGGGGGGGGGGGGGGGGGGGGGGGGGGTGGGGGGGGGGGGGGGGGGGGGGGGGGGGGGGGGGGGGGGGGGGCTCTGATGGGTGCTCTGAGTGCTCTATTATAGGGCCACCTGCTTCCTTTTAAATATCCCATCACTTCCTGCGTGCACTCAGCCAACATGCTCACTGCATTAGCTGCAGGGCGGAAAGAGGTGTGTGCTTCTCCCCTGCAGCACTCATAGCCAGGACACGCCGGACTGTGAGAGCTTGTGCTTGCAGTTTGTTGTGTGTGTGTGTGTGTGTGTGTGTGTGTGTGTGTGTGTATGTTGTGGGTTTGATGTTTGTGTTGCTGGTGTTTCCAGGATGCTCACATTAAGCCTCCACCAGCTCCTTCTATCATTTTAATGAATAATTAATGCACGGCTGTAAAATTTATTGCTTGACTAGAGTTGCGTTTTGGTAGACGTGCGTGTTCGTGCATGACTGTGCCCCCCTGCTGTGATCGTGTGTTGTTACATCTGGAACAGACAGACACACACACACATCGTAGGATTAGTCTCATAAATTAGTGTCACTTTTTTAAAGAAAGGAATTCTCAGCATTTAAATAGTACCCTGATATCCCCAGTGGAAGAAAGCTGTCATGGTGATTTTCATGGTAATTTGCGAGATTACAGTATGCTAATGTGATAATTACAGTGGATGCTTGGCATTAATCAGCTTCTGCTGGCAATGTTGTCGTATTTACCATTTGGATTACTGCGGCACACCGTCACACGCTTTCCCCCAAATTTCTTTCGGGATGCAATGTCGTCCTCGGGTTGACACAATGAGAGGCTTTAGAAACGCACACCACTTTGTTTGTGATTGCTGTCTCTGCAAGCTAGTCGACATTTTCCTCATTAGAGAGAGAGGAGAAGAATTATGTTACACGAAGATTGGCACAGATCCATCCGCACGAGAACAATCAGGCACCCATTCACGCCTGCAAGCATTTCAAAGAGAAATGAAATATGCATGTTGTTAGAAAAAAGAAGAGACACATGCACAGTTACACACATTATCACACATCCCCCCGATTAATTAAGACTATTCTTCTGTATTTTTAATATCATGATTTATTCATGTGTGTGCAGAGCTTCTTATAGAGCGCTTCTGTAAATACATAATGTCTCACACTGAGATCTGAGCTTCAGCTGCTGCTGCCTTTTTTCCAACACTTATTATAGAGTCAGCTAATGAGTTATTAGACTAGCGGAGAGCAGGGAGGCTGTGCAGTATATACAGGAGTACGGAGGCATTACATAAATCTACAGAGCCTCATCACAAGCCTGTTTTTGCAGTTTGATTAGCTTAACCTGAAACTGGATTGAACATTTGAATCAGGTCATGGCAGTTTTATGAATAAAATACTCACACTTTCTTTACTTTTTTGTTCCTTTTTTCCAAATGAATTTACAAGGTCTACAGAAGGAATTGCAATTTTTCCGATTTAGTTTCCTGTTTAGTTTCCCAGGCAGCCTTCTGGATCATTTGTTGTATTTGTGTTCTTGTCTCATCTTCTAATTGACTCAGCTCGCCCTCTGGGCGCAGAAAGACGAGGATGTCCCCTCAGTGCTTGCCTCGGGTAGTGTGGTTTTACCCCAACTTGCATCAGATGCTGAGCTACAGCGCACAACAAGCTGGGAGGCCCGACGAGTAGTTTTTATTCAGGAGCTCTGGTGTATTACTGTTGTGGTTGTGATTGTATTGGTGGGTCTACTAGTGTTAATTTTGACAGCTACTTAAGTTTTAGTCTTGGTCTTGAGACAAAAATGCCTATTAGTTTTAGTCACATTTTAGTCATTTTTATCCTTCATAGTTTTGGTCAACGAAAATTCAAAACATTTTTAATCAACGTTAAGTCATTATGTTTTCCATGTTTGTTTTTTTTTTTATCTTAAAACTCATCCAGCGAGGCTAATTCTTGTATCAGGAAGTAGAATCAAGGTGACAGATTATATAAAAAAAATCATTTAGACAATTTTTTTTCTACAACTACAGATCATTTCTACACACTTACAAACTGTCATCCAGCAGTGTTTGACAGGTTTAACGGGTGATTTACAAGCACACGCTGACTGATCATCGTTTGAAAAGCTCAACATCTCTCTATTTATGCTGTCAAAAACGTTTACTCCACAAATAAGCAGAAGCAGAGGAATAACTTAATTTAAGCCTGAATTCTTTCTTAATCTGCAACATGTTAGTCTGGAGGTTTAAACTCGTGTCCTCTCACAGAGTTGGTGATTGAAACTAAACTTTGATCTCTGTCAGAGAAAACTGATCTGACTTCAGCCTGTTTACTTACAGCACAGCTACACAAACTTTCTGGAGACAGTCAATGAGTGGAGTCCAGCGTCTGTTTGCTCTGCTGCCGTTCAGCAGCTAATGAGCAGAGCTAACTGCTAACAGCCACCACTGCAACTGACAAACTCCACATGTCCAATCAGCAGCTCCGCCATCCACAGTCAGACACACATGGCTGATTATTTCTTGCTGAATTACAGCTCACAACTCACACTAACGTCTGGCGCTGCTCTGGTGTGAGTGTTTTTGCTGGCTAGTGAAACTACACATTCTCATATTATTACTTCTTTTGACATGATAGATTGATTGCTGGAGCTCTTAGTGCACACTTGATGTAAGGCACTTGGAATGTTTTTCACACTCTCCTTCTGCTCAGCCGTCATGCCTGTAGCCCCCAAAAGTGTTTGCAAACACAGAAAGAGTTTTAGCACTTAAAGCAGCATTTTCCGCCACGGTAAACAGCTGTTCAGGGTGTCTACTGCTCTTCAACAGGTCTTACAGTAGCAGTTTGCCAATGTGCTTATCTACAGTGAGCTGGGCTAAATGTGCAGTATATAATCACAGCCTATTTATGCATCCCACACAAACATTTCAGAGCAAACTGAAATTGGCTCATTGCAACTGATGGAGGGAGCACGGGTAGGAATGAGGAATGAAAATGGTTCTGTATTGGAACCAGCTGCAGATTTTCCAAGTCAAATAATACACCAAGAATTGTAACAGGCATTTGTTAAAAGATAGAAGAGCACTTAAAATCCAGATCAGTAAAATCCAAATACTTCCTTAAATTGTGGTCACATATTGAGTCCAGTTCCTTGATGGACAGAGCAATGGCAATGCATGGTTGAGTACAGTAAAGAAAGGACCAGCGTTTGATCAGGTTGGGTTGAGCCAAATACTTGGATGAAACAAGTATTCGGTACAGATAATATACTTTTTACAGTATACGTACAGGTATCTTCGGAGTATAGTGTTTCAATATCTGTACTCGTGATGAAAGAAAATCCTCATGTGGGTAGCTGTGTTCAGTCTCTTATTCTTGTGATCAGAAATGATCTGAAGCTCAATTCTGTGGCTGCTCTGTAAATCATTTTCCAATTAGTAACAAATATAGCAAGTTCTGATTGACTCCTGTTAATTTC